TAACAAACACCTCAAAAACATTCTTCATTCCTGTTACAGTGTTTTTGATCTCTAGCTTTCTAAAACTCTTTCTTAGAATTTCTATCTTTCTCCTCACATTGTCTATCTGATCTTGCATGCTGTCTACTTTTTCCAGTAAAACCCTTAACATTTTAATTATAGTTTTGTTAAATTCCTGGACTGATAATATCTTAGTCCATTTTTGTTGCTATAATAGAATACCACAAACTGGGTAATTTACATTAAAAAATAAGTTTATTTAGCACATAGCTCTGGAGGCTTGGAATTCCACCAGCACGGTACAGGCATCTGGTGGGGGTCTTGTTGCTTTATCATAACATGGTGGAGAGTATCACATGGTGAGAGGGCAAGAGAAAGGGAGCTTACTTTTATAACAAACCCACTCCTGTGATAGCAACATTAAGACAGAGGGATTAAGTTTCCAACACATGAACTTTTGGGGGACACATTCAAACCTCACAGCAGTTAATTTTAACACTCTTGCCATATCTGACTCTGGCTCTGATACTTGTTCACTCTCTTCAAACTACATCTTTTGTCTTTTATTATGCCTTGTAACTTTTTGTTAAAAGGTGGCCACGATGTACCAGGTGAAAGGAACTACGGAACAGACCTTTAGTAAGGCAGTGAGTCACCGGGAGGGAGGCACTGCGTAGTCCTATGATAGGTCACCTTCTTTTAGTGAACCTGGACCGTGGACTTCACGAGTGCTTCTGGGGTCCCTCTCCCCACGTTGATGGTCCGGGACGGCTGGAGGGGGATGAGCTGTGTATTTCCCTTGCTCCCAGCAGGTAGGTGCTGATAACACCCCAGCAGGTTAGGCCTCTGGTGAAATAGTCTCTCCTTAGGGCAGATCTTGTTAAGAACAGAAGGCTCTGTGTGCAGCTGGCTCTGATTATGATCCTCTCTCCTACCCTTTCCCAGGTAATTTAAATCAGTCATGGTAGTTTTTTTTTCATAGATTTGAAAAGCTTTTAGGTTGTTACTAAGTTTAGAGTATAAACCTGGGAAAGAGGTTTTATTTACATTTTAGTATGGGATAGAAAGCCACCTTGATACAAATTTAATTTCCAAAATAATCTATATTAAATGAGGGTTTTCTGATCTGTACTTTGTGTTTAGCTACCTTTTTTATATTTAAAAAATTAAAAATTAAAATTATGTTCTGATTAAAAAAAAAGAATAGAAGGCTCTGACCTATTTCAAAATAGTTCCTTTTCCCCTCCCCCGCCAGAAGTGTGATGAGATTTTTCTCCAGTATCCACTGCGAGGACCTGGCAGAGCTCTTGCCTGTAAAACTCACAAAAGTGTGTCGTACCCTCAGAGCCGCCAGCTCTGAGCCTGCAGCAATCGCTGGGCTACAGCACAGGCTTTCCTACCGGGCACTGGCTCCCTTGAGGTTTCTGCTCCTGTGCGTCGTGCTTCTCTGCCTGTCTGCCTCTCTGATTCACAGGGCAGTGGTTTGCTCTGTGACCCCACTTCTCTGACAGCCTTAAGAAGAGCTGTTGATTTTTCAGTTTGTTCAGCTTTTTACTTGTTGCTAGAATGGGGTGCCAATCCTGCTTTCTAAAGCGACAGGTAACCCTCAACTCTAGAGATAATGAAGCATAGCAATCACAAAGGGGAAACTGTTTCAGCAGTTTTTTGTCAACATATTATCCCTGAAAAAGAAGTTGCTTCTTCCATACTCTGCAAGAGATGGGTCTCAGCTCAGAGTCAAACGCAAATGACTTGACTCAAAAGGAAAGAATGAACGGTTTCCAAACCACGGAAGCCTGCCCCAGGAGTGCCCCTGAACCCCAGCAGTGGCCACACTAAGGTCAGGGACCCTGCCCCAGGAGTGCCCCCAAACCCCAGCAGTGGCCACACTGAGGTCAGTGGCCCTTACCTTACAGAAATAGGTGATTCATCCTCACAGGACAAAATTCCAAGGGTATAAAAGGACAAACAATTGAAAAATAAGTCTCCCTCCAGCTCCTGACCCCCAGCCACCTAGTTCTCCTCCCTGAGGCAAGGCTGTTACCTGATTCTTGTGCCTCCTTGAAATATATCCTTGGAAGAGATGCTAAGTGAACGTATGTTTAAATGGAAACTTAGTTTAGAAGTCATGTTCTTATCAAATTTTAGGATTGGAAGGGATCTATTTTAGTCTTTAATTCATGACCTCTATTAGTACTTACCGCTCCTGCATGAAAATCTTTCTAAAGATGAAGACACCCTTTCCACTATGAAATAGCTCATTCCACTTTTGGATAGCTCCAGTAGTTTTCAAAAGATAGTTTTTGAAATTCTAAAATCTGCCACTCTGGTTTATCCTCATCAATCTTTGCTTTGACCTCTAAGGCCAGAGAAAACAGGTGGTCAAATGCCTCTCAACTAAAATGGAACTTAGAATATTTGAAGCCCTTATATCTTCCCCCTGCCAAATAACCTGTTTCCCATACCCTTCCACAGAATGTGTGGTTTTAAAGAATTCAGAGCTATGTTCCTTCTACAAAAGACTACACTCTTATTCAATATATTCAGAAACTTCTTCTAAGAGGATAACCACTCATCGGAGAAAAAAAAAAAACAGTTTCTCATTTATAGCTGACAAAGGGAATGAACAGTCTGTATCATGAAAATTTATAGACAGGAGATTCATTATGGGAAATAGGGGAGTCTTAGTATACACTTGTTAATATGGGATGCAAGGAGGCTTTACCAAGAATTTTTTTGGCCAAGCAGAAATTTTGTTATTACTTGCTCTAACAAATTTCCAAGATATTATGAAATAGAATTTGGGATCCTGATGTCACCCTTTATCTCAGATTTAGGAGAGTTGTAGTATGAAAGAAATAAAAATATGACCCTGACTTGGGTTCAAAGCTGGCCTCTCATACTAGCGAGTCTGCTTGGAGACTTTGGCCCGGTATTTAACCTCTCCAAGCCCAGAGATTGCCCTGGAGCAGCTCCTACGCTGGGCCGATCTGTGCAAGATCCCTCTGTGCTCTCCGGAGGAATTCACGTCTGCCAGCTCAGTCGTGTAGTTTTTTATTTAACAAATAACGTAGTTATCAGCATGCTCCAGGTATCTGCTAAAATCTACAAAATCTACTTGAATGTCAGTTTCTATATCAAAGCTCAGAGGAGAAACCTTACAGGCGTCCCCATTAAGATGTTCAGCAAGCCTATTCCTCTCCATTCGCTGGAATCCATCCCAGTACTGGGCTGAGTGTGTCTGAAAAGTGTCCCATTGCCTCCTGGAGTAACTGTTTTCACAAAGCTCTGTTTCTTAAGCCGCCACCGGATCACTGAAGAATGTTGTAACAACAGTGCCACGAAGGCCACTGCTTCATAGCACCACAGTGACAGTGAGAACCCTGATGCCCTCAGGCATGGTCTTCTCTTTGGGGACTCACAAGAGAAATTCCTACGTAGTCTTAAAAGTAGCTTAAATTGATTTGTGTTGTGACTTGTGCCACTGATCATATTTCCTTGACTGAAAATATAGTTTAGAGCCAAATTTGTGGCCCTCGTTTGGTGAATGCACGGGACTTCACTGTATTCAAATCTTTTAGGAGACTCACTCCTATCTTCATTTTATGTTTCACTCTTGTGTTTCCTGTTTGCCTTTCTCTAATTTCTGCTTTCTGCTTTTGTATTTCTTTACAAACTGCTTTAAGTCCCTGTATGGATTGTGTGGAGGGAACCAAACACATGGCCTGCCTTCTTCATCCAGGGGCTAAATGAAGCATCAGTGGTTGCCCCATTTGTTAAAAGAAAGGAACAAAGTATTTACTCAAATTCACAGGAAAAGTTGTTACCCTGCCCATGCCCTGGTAAAACCGGCCATTCAGGCTGCAGCGCTCACATGCAGGCACAAGCACAGCGCTGCAGGGAAAGGAAAAATGCGCATTGCGCCTCCCCCGCCCCCTGCCCCCGCCCCGCGCCCCCAGACAGGGAAGGCCGGTCTTTAGCTCCACTTAGTTAGGCTTCTGATTCCTGCTAGAGAGGGGAGATCAGCGTTGAGCCAGGCCCAAGGTGTGACCTAGTGAACCTTCTGAGCAGAGAAGGGGATTGTTGTCAAAGGGGCCACAGGACATTTCTACTGGAGGAGAAGGAACAGTGGGACGGGAAGGATTTAGCTGAAGTTTTTGCAGCCCAAAGAAGCTTAGTTTCCTTTAGCCAAATCCTTCCTGAATTTCCCTGGCATTTCTCCTGCCTGAGTTACGGGGCAGTGGGGCACTTAGCCTCTCTAAAAGTGTCTCCACTGTTGTTAGTGTCAAGCCTTTATTTCAAGCGCTTCACTTTTGCAAAGTAATTTACCTCACACATTTGCTTTCAAAGTACCCGGGTTGGTTGCAACAAACAAACTGTCTCTTTGCCAGGAGTTGGGTGCCCTCATTCCAGACGACTTCGAGAGTGCTCGACAGGGTCTGAAGGACCCTCAGATTTCGGAGCACACCCCCGCCCCGCGGGCGCGGTGAGGGCCGCCAGGCCAGCCTCTGACTCTCACTAGGATCCTGGGTTGCTGCTGGGGAGTTGGGGACCAGAATAAAGGAACAGTTTCCCCAACAATGTCATTATCCGACGTTGGCTCCGGGGCTCAGCCAGTTTGTCCAGAGCTGTACAAGTTTGCTTTGTAAACAAAAGGAGGGATGGCGGAAGGGGACCCTGCCATGGATTTGGCTCGACGTAGGGCCACCGGGACAGCCCTGCGAGTCCGCGGGGGGACCAAGGCCTGAACAGCGGTGCCGGGAACGCCCTACTCGGAAATTGGCTCCTGAGGTCACCCGCTGCCCTCCCACACCCGCCCTCCACCGGCCGCTGGGCCCGCGAGGGTCCGCCGCCGTCCACCGCCCCCGGTTGCTGCTGCCTTCGGTGCGCGCGGCCGGCTCTTCCTCCCTCCTCCTCGCATTCTCCTCCTCCTCTGCTCCTCCCGAGCCCTCCTCCTCCGTGGTCCCTCCTCCTCCCGCCCAGCCTCCCCACGCCCGGCCGGCGCGAGCGAGACGTCTGGGCTGTTCGGCGCAGCGCGGCGGCAGCAGCCTCCGCCCCCGGCCCGGTGTGCGCGCCCGCGGCAGGGCGGCCGAGTCCCGAATCGCGAGCCCGGCGGCCGCCGCCTCCAGACCGGAGGACAGGCCACCTCGGCGGCGTCCGCCCGAGTCTTCGCCTCGCCGCCGCCGCCTGCCTCCGTCCAGGATTGACTGGGGCGAGCCCGGGCGAGCTCCCGGGGCAGCGATGCGACCCTCCGGGACGGCCGGCGCCGCGCTCCTGGTCCTGCTGGCTGCGCTGGTCCAGGCCAGCCGGGCGCTGGAGGAAAAGAAAGGTAAGGGCGTCCCGCGCCGCCCGGCCGCGCACCGGCGCACCGGCCCGGCGTCGCGCGCCTCCGCCCTCCTTTCCTGTTTCCTTGAGGATCAGCGGCGCTGCTGGCGGGGCCGTGGGAGGAACTGGACGTTTCGCTTCTGGGCTGGGCGAGTCAGCGGCGGCCCGAGGAAGGGAGACGCAGGGCAGCGGGGCTGCGGGCGGGGCGCGGGGACGGCCGCCGGCCGCTCCTAACTTTCTTTCCTCACTTGCCTGCCTTCCTGCACCCGGGCGGCGTCCGTGGGTGAAAACTCGGTGCGGGGCGGGCGCCGGGCGGCTCGCCCTCCGGCATGTGCGCCCAGCTATCCGCCCGAAGGGCGAGGCCGGGCCGGGGGGCGCGCGCCCAAGGCGGGGGCGCGTCCCAGCCGCCGAGGCCGCGTGGTTCAGGGAGGCTGAGGACGGACCCGCGGAAATCCATCCACCCCTCCGCCCTCCCGGGACAGGCGGTTTCCTGCGCGGACCCTGCTCACCTCCTGCCCCGCCCGGTGTCACACTTCACCCCACACGCTGGCCAGCCTGGGTCCCAGCCCCGCTCGCAGGTCCCTGCAAGCCCTTTTCCAGGGTGTGGAGCTGCAGCCTTGACCTGGGAGGCTGGGAGAACTCGTCTTCTCACTGCCTCCCTGCGGCTACCGGGAAGGGGTGGTGCGGGCGGTGCTTAGTTTCCTAGTTTCAGGAGCGGGTGGGGGCCGACCGGCCCCTGGGGCGCAGACCCCAGCCCCTCGCCCGGCGCGCCGTGGTCTAGCTGTGTCCGCCCGCCCGGGGCCCGCGGCTCCCCGCAAGGCCGGAGCTTCCTCCCCCGCAGCGCCCGCGTGTGAGGCGGGGGTTTCCTTGGGTGACCGCCCCCCGGCGACTCCGAGGCTTGCCCCCCGCGAGCAGCCCTTGCATTGCATCGGCCTTGCGGCCGAGCGGGACCTAGCTGTCGCCGGCCACCGCGGAGGGACGTCTGGGTTCCTGTGCCGAACTCCCCTGGAGCCGAACTCGTCCCTGCCGTCGCCACGGTTTCTCAAAATGGGGCTCCCAGCAAACTTTCTCCTCGAAATCCCGAGATTGAGATTGTCTCTTTTGGATGTTTCTTTTTGCTTTTTGAAGAATTTGACATTGGGCCAAGCAAAATATTAAACTTAAAAGAAAAAACCGGATTGGTGTCCGTGGTTCACTTCTGCCAAATGTCCAGACGGAGCATGAGCGAGCCTGGCTTCGTGACTACCGTCCATAAACCCACTGGACACGAGAGACATGCCTCAGAAGGTTTAATTGCACAGTTTCAAAATCAAGCGGCCCAGACTCCAAGAGTCAGGTCCGTACTTGCCGTTGATGTCACTGGGTAGGGAGCTGGGGTTTGGTGCTGAGCGTGGCCTTTGGGGGAGTGGGGAGGCATAGAACAGTGGTTCCCAGACTTCGCTGCATGCTGGAATCACCTGGGATTTTAAATAATCTGAACAAGAGTCCATGTCTGGCTCCTCCCCCCCACACCTCTCTCCCACATTCTGAATTAATTTGGAGGGATAAGAGCTGGGCATTGGAACTTTTAAAAGCTCTTCAGGCGACTCTATTGGGCAGTCAGGTTTGGGAATTGCTGGCGCACAGGAAAGATCGGTAGGGTGTCCGGGAACGATTACATGCCAGTGTAGGAGCTCTCTTGGAACATCTGGAGTTTTAACAACCTTGCAAAATACAGGAAAGAGGGAAAAGGCAGGCTTCGAGTTCAGTAATGAAGGATTGGTCTTTCCACAGGGAGCTGGTGGGGAGATTTCCCCTCCACTTCGCTGCAGGGCTCCCCTCCTCCCTGCCTGGGGTGCCCAGGAGATTGTGGCCTGCCTGGGACATAGCAACAGGGTCCTCCTGGTCATGTGCCACCTCTGTCTCTGCTGGAGAGACCTTTCTCCTTATTTTAAATTAAACACTCAGAGTGCCTCCAAAGCATCACTTTTCTCACTCCAGAAATGTTCCCAGCCTTTGATGTTGCTCCTTTGAACACCACTATTAGTGGTTGGAGATTTGTTTCTGAGAAAAGTATAAATACCACTTAATTTGCCTGTGTATCCCATATTCAACCAAAAAAGAATGTTTCTGAATAAAATAGAGTAGGCGAACAAATACTGTTAAAGTAACAGCAATACTAAATTTTAGGTGGCAAATTATTAATGCTAGGAGATGAAGTCTTTGTACAATCAAATTCAGTGTTTTGTTCAAGAAGATTTATTCATGTTAGTGAGGGTTTTGTTTGGTTCTAGAATATGGTAACTTTGACTTAACTGTACTTAGAGCTAAGTACTGTCAAACACTGTTTTAAATGTCCTTTTTATCCTCACATCATGTGAGGTGGATACTCTCAGTGTATATGGGGAAACTGAGGCACAGAGAAGTAAAGTGACTCTCCCACAGCTAATAAGAGGCAGAACCAGAATTCAAACTTGGGCCTTTGGCTCCAGATCCCTCCCTCAACCTCCGAACTCCACTGCCTTGAGTTCTGGTATCCAGAGAGCCAAGTCAGGTGTGTTTGCCTGTCGAACAGCAGATGCTGGAAGGGGAAAGGGCTCAGGGCATGGCTGGTTAAGATGGGCGCCTTGTTTGAAGCTTGAAACAGATGACTGCCGTTCGGTGGCCGGCCCTTGGCTCAGGGTTCCTCCGTCCTCGCTCTGGTTGTCAAGTCAGTGAGTATGGAGATGGCTTGAGGGCTGTCGAGCAAGCCCCTTGCTCTTGAAAGCAGAGGGAGAGAGGTGCTGCTCTGGAATAGATCCCAGGTGTTACTCCAAGAGTGTGGGCGTTCAACCTAGTGAGCTTTGTAGAGATGAACCTGCCCCGGCCCCACGTCTCGAGACATTCCCATTCAGTAGGTCTGAGCTGTATCAAAGAGAAACAAAAGTGGGGATTTTAATGGTATCCAAAGTGAAGAATCACCACCCTCCTTTCTCCAAGGAGATCAGATCTAGAAAGCCCAGGCCTGGGCTGGCAGCCAGGGGTCTTTCTTCTCATTCCAGCCCTGGGGGGAAGGGGGACAAGTCACTGAGAAGCTCCAGGCTTCTGAGTCCTCATTTCTGAATTCACTGACTATTTACTGGGTGTATAGAATATGCCAGACACTAAGTTAAAAGGGGGATATAGCCTTAATGGTTTTTACTGTTGCCTCCAGAAATGTGATTCTTTAAGCCGCTAATTAAATATTATTAAGTTGCTTTTCAAATCCGAAAAGACCGGTGTGGTCTGCCGTGGTGTGTGCCCACGCTGCTGTAACACAGACGCGCACAAACAGGAGATAGCTCCAGTAGGCTTTTAACAGTCATTTCTGGCTTCACGTATTTAGTTTCGTAATTCATAATTTTTCAAATACTTATTCTGAATTTGAAGAAGCCATTCGCCACAATCCATTGTACTACATAATTACCCGTGGTCCCTGTGACAGCATTAACATGTTTTGAACTGTTTCTAGAGGTAGTGTCAGTAAAGATGAAGGATTCTGTTTGAAAAGAAAATACTCTTTGCTTTTTCTTTGATCTAAGTTCCAGGGCTAGCAGCTAATGTCTGAAACTTTTTTGACAGGAGTGACCAATCAACTCTAATATTAAAGACAATTGATTTTTATGACTATTTAAGGGGAGGTGGCCCAGACTGTTGCCCACATCCTGAAATAGGGCCGGCATCGGAATGGTCAGAACACCCAGCCTGTTGGACCCTGCTGCAAAATAACTCGGCCCTTGCGACGTGGCTTGCTGTGCAGGTGGTATTTGTGTGTGCGTGTGCTTTGATTTTGACTTAGTGAGTACAGTAGTAACGGGCTTATTTATGTTTAGGTTTTACCAGTAGGGTTATGTTTTGAGAAAAGTTCAAAGTTTTAGAATATGGCTCGTCCATACATTGTTTCCTTGTAAATACAATTTTAAAAGCTAGCTTCTGTCTCTTGGATCCATTCCATTTTGTTTTCTTCTGTCACTTATGGACATTTGAAATTACGGTAAGAAACACGTTTCTTCTCAGTGAAGCATCACCAGTTTATTCTTAAACCACCAACATGTGTGAGTCTTAGTTTGTTCATGAAGACCATCCCCACTTCACATGGCAGTGTTCCTCCACACCTTCTTTTTAATTTTCTTCCTAAAAGCTTGAATTTTCCAAGAAAACTCTAGCTGTTGGCTCTCTGGATAGCATCTCAGGATTGTCTGCCGCTGGGCCCGTGGGCACTGGCTGGTAGTGTGATTTTGGGCAAGAATCCAGGCTTTGAGACTTACTCAAATAACTGGTTTATCTGTAATTTTCACTTTTTCAGAGTTGTTTGGTAAAGCTTCCTTCCTGCACATTTAGACAGATACACTCAATGCAATTGTCTAGAAAGTTCCCTGAGCCAGCTGGGGGTGGGAGGGATAGTCGAGGCCAGTGAGGGTATGTTTGCGAAGCCTCTGGAAAGTAAGTGCTGGATTTGACATTGTAATCCCCAAAGGCACTGAAGGACAGTATCAGATGCCTGGCCCCGCTGCCTGAGCATCTGTGAATTGCATATGCTCAGAATAAATTTTACTCCTACCAATTTCAGCAGCTTGCTTTAGAAAGTGATATGTGAAGGGTAACGTGGGTGGATAGAATTTGCCTCTCTACTCCAAGTTATATTCCATTCTGGGAGGTTCTCAGGGAGAGACCCGGAGTCCAAGTGTCCTTTCTGACTGTATCTGGAACTTCTTATTGAAAAGAAGCCCGAATTCCAAATCAGGGGGCAGATGATTAGATGAGAATGTCTTGTGCACAGCTCTACATGTACCTGCAATTGCACCATTACTAGTGGGCCAGCACACGTGGCCCCGATTTACTATAAATAATCACATAAGTTTACCACTATTGTTTGCCCTTGGAGTAGAAGGACAAATATTGGTACCTGTTACAACTTAGGCTTTCATTTCCATTTTTTCTTTATGTTTGAGCCACGAAGAGCAATGAGCATTCTTCCCTCTGTATTTTGAGATGTAAGGATGAATT